TGCCATGTGGGTGCTGGGAATCAAACCCGGGTCCTCTACAAGAGCAGTCAGTGCTCTTAACTGCTGAGCCATCTCTCCGCCCCCCACCCCCAAATATTTTTTTAGCCAGGCGTGGTGGTGCACACCTGTAGTCCCAGCACTGGGGAGGCAGGGGCAGGTGGATCTCTGTGAGTTCAAGGCCAGCCTGATCTACATAATGAGTTCCAGCCCAGCAAGGGTTACAGGAAGTCGCTGTTTCAAAAAGACCAAAAAGAATTTTTAAAAATTATTTTATGTGTGTAAGTATATTGCCTGCATGTATGTAAGTGCACTGGTGTTGTACAATGCCCTCAAAGGTCAGAAAAGGGTGTTGGAGCCCCTGGAACTGGCATTACAGATGGTTGTTAGCCATCACGTGGGTGCTGGGAGCTGAATCTGGGTCCTCTGCAAGAGCAGCCAGTGCTCTTAACAGAGGCTGAGACCCTTTTTTTTTTTTTAAATCCTCAACTCTATTAATTAGCCACGACATCCTTCACTAAGTGCCTATACAGCACCAACTGTCATAATTTCTGAGAACTGAGGTGGATGAATTCCAGGGACCACTCAGGACCTCTGTAAGACCCTTGAGCCAAACGTGCTAGATCCTCAGGCTGGGTGTTCTAGGTCTCACAAAGCAGATTTTCAATTCAGCTCAGCAGTCATGCAGAGCTTTGTAGAGGAAGTGGCTGCAGTGAATGAGAACGGAGCCCTGACTTTGGAGCACTTTGAAATGACAGGAATTTTTTTTTTTTTTTTTTTTTTTTTTTTTTTTTGAGACTGGCCCTTGGGAATGTCGCCCAACACAAGGAGGAAGAAGACCAGGAGAGTCCAGATTCTCTCTGGCAGACAGGTAAGTATTCTTTGATTTTATTTTAGTAAAGCTTTATGAAACAGGTAATTTATCCTGGAATTCTGAAATGGGGGATATTTTTCCTCACTGTAGAAACATGTTCAGCAAAATAGGTGAGTGGTGTGTCTGACATGCCAGTCTCGGATCAGTCAGATGGGTTGCCATCTACTCTTGTCTCCATCCCTGACTCCCTAAAGTGCCCCTAAGAGACCTTCCCGTCTTTGTCGTCTGTATCAGTGCTGTGTCATTTGCTCAGAGGACAGGAGGAGGAACTGTTTTTCAGGAATTTAGTGGAGGAGATATAGGCATCTATAACATAGAATTTAATAAAATTTACTTAGGTTTTCAGGGTCCAAGGAGTTCATGAGGCATGATTGTTGACATGGTCATGACTGAGAAACTTTGAAATGTTTTACCGCACTCAGTTCTCTCCCTGACGGTTCATCTTGGCAAGCTAAACAATCACTGAATTGTTTCCGTGGAAACACCAAACTGCAATTTGAATTACCAGAATAAAAATAGAAACAAGGCAGATTTAAGAATAGGAGCGTTGGAACCTGCTAGCTGCAAACTGCAAACTCAAATGGCAGCATATGAGAAGCTGGGCCCATCCAATCCCTATGAGGAGACATCTTTGGGTCCTGTAGTATCTTCATACCAATATGAAGCTACAACTTTATAAGCAGCCTGGAGAAGGCTGAGGAGGAAAGGATTACTACAAAGATGAGTGATGAGTGAACAGCAGAGTAAAGGTCAAGAAGGGGCAGAGCAGCAAGTCTTTCAAAGGGACAATTTAGGAGGTATGGAAGGACTAAAAATGGCCACACTGGCCTCTGGGTTCCCCACACCCCCAAGTATCGCTGTTTGGTAAATAGATCTGCTTCTAGACCTGAACTCCTGCAGGTGGGTGCAGCCTCTGCCTCTGTGCCAGAGAGGAAGTCCATCATGCACTTAAACCCATCTTCTCATCTCTAGGTCTCAGGAATCCCCCAATCCTGCCTTCTGCTTCCCTCACTCAGGGAATAGGGGAGTCACTTCTTGTCCCACTTCCCCTGGTTCCTTGGCATTCTCCTGGATCCTCCCCTCTCAATCTCAGAGATTTCAGGGGGAGTCAAGAAGGAAACTGGCTGTTGGGGGTCTGTGTCCTTCACCTTTGCACCCAGGAATAAGCTCAAAGGGCAGTTAAAACCACCAAAATCATGCTCCAGGTGAGTGGTAAGCTGTTAATGTTCAAGAAAAATTGGTAAAGATTTGCAAAATGGCCCCACCACAGGCTAATCTCCCTCTTGAACTAGCCAGGCCATGGCTCATCTGGGACCCAGAGTGGTACTTCCATGACTGAGGCACACAAGCTTAATATGGCAGGAAAAAAATTAGTGTAACAGTCACGTGAACAAGGGGAGGTCTTGGGAAGCCAGTGCACCCAAGTGCCTATTGATCACTGAAGATTGTCATCCCAGATCATGTGAGGTTCTGGTAATTTGCTTTCTCCTTGATATCAGAGAACATTAATATTTTAGATTTCAACTAAATATTTACAGAGGGAACAAAGTTTTATTCAGGAAATGAATTTGAAAATGGATCCCATGGAACAACTATCTGTCTTAGGCTTTCTGAAAAATGTGTTAAGAGTTTTGGCCCACAACTGACAAAAAATCTAAACTACTCAACCTATATACTACCTTTCTTCCTTCCTCACTCCTCCTCCTCTTCCTCTTCTTCTTCCTCTCTCCCTCCCTCCCTCTCTCTCTCTGAGACAGGGTCTTACAACATAGCCCTGACTGGCATGGAACTCACTATGTAGACCAGGCAGGCAGGTCTTACTACCATGCTCTTTCTTGGGGCTTGTTTTCTGGGTATATTGGGTGAGGGAGGAGTTGCTGAGAACCATCTGAGGAGAGAAGTGGGCAAAATCAGGAGCCCTTTAGAGCTTCTGAGGAAGAAAAAAGAAAGAAAAGGGAAGGGGAAGGCATCGTAAAGGGATGCTATAGAAAAGCCCAACTTTCATGACAGTTTTCAAGAAGCTGTTTGTCTAAAAGTACAGTCTCTGCCCTCAGTGTCAAGAGTGCCTCCTGTATGCTGGGACACAGGCAGATGCTGTTCTTACTTCTGGAGCTTATACCCCTGGGCAAGGCAGGTGAAACAAGAACAAAAATGAATTCAGATAGATTAGTGTGAAGCAAAATAGCACAAGAGAATGAGTGGAGTGGTGAGTGAGTGAGTATGGAGGTCAGTAAGGGCCATGTGCAGGCTGCGATATGGCTCAGCAGGTAAAGGTGTCTGCCACCAAGCCTGAGACCTGGGTTTGATCTCCAGAACCCATGATGGAAGTAGAGAACCGACTCTAGAAAGTTGGCCTCTCACCCATTCTCTCTCTCACATACACACACACACACACACACACACACACACACACACATACACCAAATAATGTAAAAAAAAAAAAAGGTCATTTGCTGATGGCATTTCAATTGGTACTGGAATGCCAGGCAATTAAGTGTAGTCAGCTTCATTTTCATCCTGGAGTAGCAAAGGGAGGAGCTCTCAACAGTTCTCAACCCCACCCCACCCCAACTCACCCCCCCACCTCCCACCACATCCGCCCCTGTGTAGCCACATACAGCTCTAGGAGCATCTGAAGAGCCAAAAACGTTTCGTGTTCCAGGGGCGTGCTTGGGACTGTCATGCTCAAGTCTGGCAGGAACCTAGTAGTTAAGACAAAAAAAAAAAGCCATAGGAATAAAATAGAAACAGAATACCCTTTCCTGATGATCACCAGGGATAGGCAGTATAATTTTAATTAACTGAGCCTTGTTAGGAGAGAAGTTTGCCACTCATCTACAAAAACACCCAACTCATGGAACACTGAGTTACTCTGATCTTTGACTTCATTACACAAAACAGCATGCTGCAAGTTAACAGCAGAGTCAAACAACACACGTCCATCTTTGGCATTTTAAAGTTGGACTGTTCAAGTAGAAGGGCTTGGTCACAAATACTAATTATTTCTCTTTCACAGGATCTCAACTTTGAATTAAAATAACAAATATTAAAACTACAAATAACAGAAGACAAAAGAAAAATTTAATACTACATTGTTCAACAGATACAAGGCCCTTTGGTCTCAAAGTTTCGTGCTAATAACTCAGTAAGCACCTGTCGTCAGTTTGGGACGGGCTGGAAGAACTCTTCCTGCACCTGGGCTTTCTCTCATATCTCCCTTGCACAAACAGTGTGGAGCAGCAGGGGTTAAAGGCTGCAGTGGAGAGAATACGCAGCCAGCCAATGTAGCCAAAAGGAAGAAGAGGCCAGGGAAGCCAGGGCAGAGCCCAGATCTGAATTTCCTTGTCTCTGAGAGGGCTATTGTGATTGCCCACATAGGTGGAAGCTACAGGCACAGAAGGAAATAAGAGTGAAAACAGACTGGTATCTTGAACAGCAACTAATACCCAGAGTCCTGGACCTTCCCCTACTTCCTACTGATCACAATCTGTCAGGGCCTCTGACCCTGAGGGTTGGGAAGCAGGTTTCAAAGATACTTTGTTACTGCCCAGTCCAAATGTTCTACAATTTGTCTTTCCAGCTGAGATCAATAAACTATCAGCTAAATTCACTGTTGGCAGGTTAGAAGTTATCATCACTATCAAAATCGGGGTCACAGAGCAAATTCTTCCCTGCCTTCTTACATTGAGTTGGCGCTAGAGTTTCAAGACTGAGGTTATTGAACCAACTTATCTGCTGGTCCCCCTGCGAACTGCTGAAAAAACACTCATTGTCTTCTGAAGAATGCCTGGTAGACTGTAAGAGACTCCCTTGTGCTGCATTTGCTGTATTGCTGGTCTTAACTGTTCCTCTCAGAACATGACAGGATGGCTTTGCAGGGCCTCTTAGACCCCAATGCTGGATGGAGGGCTCTTGTGGGCCAGAAACTAGAGACTGAGAACTCTGATATTTAGAAATGAAAGCACAGGTCTTGCTTGGGGTTTGTTCTTGCTTCCTACCTAGAGGCTTCCCTCTGCAGGATTTTCTGGTCTGTTTCTTTTTGCCTTTGAGTGACCTGCCTTTCTTCTGTTCAGTTGCTGACTGTTCACATGGGTCAGAAGAAAACTTGCTCTGGGCTTGATATTTGGGGTAGACATTCTTAAACCTGGTCACAAAAGTCTTTAAGTTCACTTGTGATGATTCTTGGGAAATTAGATCTTCGTCACCACAAACTTTGTGGTTTGGGAGGCTGGAGTCATGGTTCTTGGGACTTGTTTTGGTGATAACCCAGTTCTTGCAGTTATTTTGCATTGTTCTGTCCTTTACATGCTCTTTTCCTTTATGGGGCCCATCTGCTGGTAGTGTAACCTCTTGGAGAACATTATTCTTTGCTCCTTTATCCCAGATTCCAAACCCCTCAGACCTCTGGGAACTCATACTGGGATTCATTGCAGTAGGAGGCTCTTGGCTCTCCCAAGTTGATGGCTCCTCAGAGGTGTTTTTTCCCTGCCTGATGAAATTGAGACTCTGGGTCAGAGAGGGTGAGGTCTGAGAAGTGCTGTCTTTCACATGCCCAGGTACCTGAGGCACAGAGATTAATTGCTTCAGCTCTTCTAAGACACCAGGCACATTGAGCTGGCCTAGCTTCTCACAAAGCTGCTGGAAGTCCTTACTCTGCTGGGCAACTAGAATTTCAAGGTTCTTCAGGCTGGACTTCATTTCTATAAACTCTGCTCGTCTCTGGGGAAGAACGTAGTAAGAAAGGAGACAGTGATGGACACTGAAAATCAGAATGCACAATAAAACGCATTTTATTTGTGGGTGTGGTAGCTAATACAATCCTAGCTCTCCTGAGACTTGAGGCAAGAGGATTAGCATAAGTTTGAGGCCACCCTGGGCTAAATAGTGAGTTCTAGGCCAGTCTGGGTTACAAGAGTGAGACCCTGTCTCAAAATATAAAATAAAAACAAACAAAAAATATGAGAACCAACCAGTGGACAAAAGCTTGTCTCAAACAGAGGAAGCATGACTACATTGTGAGCAGAGCCTCTAGAGCTAAGAGGTTTCCTGCCAGGGAACCCTGAAGGAGGTGATATTCTGGCTTAGTGCCAAAAAATCTGTTCTGGTGTCTGGTCTTGGCTAAAAATTTGTAACATTAAATGTGTCTCCAGCTGGGCCTGGTGGCACATACCTTTAGTCCCAGCACTAGGGAGGCAGAGGCAGGCGGATCGCTATGAGTTCAAGCTACAAAGTGAGTTCAGGTCAGCTGGGACTACAGGGAGACCCTGTCTCAAAAAGACAAAAAAAAAAAAAGTGTCTCTCTCTAGGAGCTGGAGAGGTGGCTTAACAGTTGAGAGCACTTGCTGCTATTACAGAAGACCTGAGTTTGGTTCCCAGTACTCATGTCAGGTGGCTCACAACTTTAATTCCAGATCCAGGGACGTTTGATGCCTCTGGCCTCTGGACACCTTCACACATACAGACATAGATATACAAACACTTTTTAAAAAGTGAATCTGGCCAGGCATGGTGGCCAGCATGGTTAGTGACAAAGTCAAAAACATATCTGCATATTGGCCTGTACCTGTAGTCTTAAGCTATTCAGGAGGCTGAGGCAGGAAGATTACATCTGGTAGTTCAAGACAAGCTTGGGCAACATAGTGAGACCCCGTCTCAGAAACAAGCAAACAACACTCCCAAACAAAATAAGCAAAAAAAAAAAAAAAAACCCAAAAGAAAAATAAAAAAGAACTTGGAGTTTATACTTACAGCTTCTAATTTCTTCTGTATGTCAAGGATGGCCTGTTCCATATTGCCTTTGTCTTGCACCACCCCAATCATCAGGTCACTCTGGACCCGTGTAGTCTCTTGAACTAAATACAAAACAAGGACAATTTTCCTCATAAGGACTGTGATAAGCATTATCTGCTTAGACCACAGTGGTAGAAAAGAAGGAGCTAGATACCAGTATGGCCGAGTAAAGCTTCTCTGCTAATGTCCAGGGCTCTCCCCTCCTGACCAGAATCATCTCTCCACAGACTCAGGCCTGTCATCCCAGCCTGGGAAGCTGAAGCATGAGGATTGTTATGAGTTCTAAACAAGCCTGAGCTAAAGAGTGAGATTCTGTCTCAAAATAAATAAATAAAAATAAAACAGACAAAACTCACCAATATTTAATGACTATAAGCCAAGCACTAATCATATATACAAAACAGTGATTGAGAAAGATAACTAACTCTCTCATGAAATTACGATTTTATCAGGAAAAACAGGTAATTAATGAGAATTATACAAATAAACTGTTGAAAGATGGAATAAGTGCTTTAAAGGAAAAATTCACATGCATCATCTTTTGTTTTTTGTTCTTAGAGAGGGTCTCATGTAGCCCAAGGCTGACTTATGTAGCTCAAGGCTGACTTCCAACTAGATGATTAGCTAAAGACAACCTTGAACTTTTGATCCTCTTGTCTCTACCTCCCAAGTTCTGAGATTACAGGTGTATGCCACTATGCCTGTTTTTTAAAGTTATATTTATATGTCTGGGTGTGTAGTGTGTATGAGTGCAGGTGAGCACATACTACGGTGTGAATATGGAAGAGGTTAGCTCTCAGGAATCAGTTCCCTCTTTCTGCTATGGATTCCAGGAATCTAACTCAGTCATTGGGATTACTTTGAAAGAGCTTTTACTTGCTGAGTTATCCTGTCAAAAAACTGATGGACCCAAGTCCCTCCAAAATGATGGATTTAAACTAAAATCCCCCAGGCCTGAGAAAAACTGTACAAGGAAGTAAAAATGAAAAATAATTCTAACTGCTAAGAACAAGCTGAGCAGACCTTTTTCATGCTCCCTGCCCAAGCTGGAAATCATCCCAGAAATCCCCCCCACCTCTGCTTGGCACATAGCCGCCGCTTGTAGTTTTTGCCTTTAAAAGAAACCTGTGAACTGGGCTCTGGGCTTCTGCCCTCCGAGTGAGGCAGGGGTCCGTTTTGCGCAAAACGCCAAATAAATCCTCTTGCTTGTTGCATCTCCTGGTCTGAGGACTGAGTTATTGGGGAGCGGCCTCCTGTGGACGTTGGGTACCCCAAACTGGGGTTCCAACAAAACATTTTTTTTTTTTTTTTGAGATTCTGCCTGTATCCCCAGCTGGCCTGGAACTCACAGAGATTTGCCTACCTCTGCCTCCCAAGTGCTGGGATTAAAGAGCAGCAAGTTTTCTTAACCACTGGTTTTTGTTTCTTAACCATCCCTGGTTTTTGTTCATTTGTTTGTTTTGGTTTGTGTTTTTTGAGACAGGGTTGCACTATGTATTTCTGGTAACCTGGAATTTACTATGCAGACCAGGCTGGCTTTGAACTCACAGAGATCTGCCTGCTTCTACCTCCTGATTTCTGAGATTAAAGGCATGTGCCAATATGCCTGGGCTTCTGTTTTTGTTTTATATTTAAAGCTAGGTGAGCCAGTAGTGGTGGCTCGTACTTATAATACTTGAGGAAGGAGGATTGCCATGAGTTTGAGGCCAGCCGAGATTACATAGTGAATTACAGGCTAGCTTATGCTACATAGTGAGATGCTGTCTCAAAAGCAAAACCAAAAAACTCTAAATACCCAGACTTGGTGATGCATACCTGTAATCCTAGCACTTAGTGGGTGGAGGCAGGAAAATCATTTAAGGTCATCCCTAGCTACATAGTGAGTTCATGGCCAGACTAGACATAAATCCTTGCCTCAGCTGGGCGTGGTGGCACATGACTTTAATCCCAGCACTCCTGGAGGCAGAGGCAGGCGGATCTCTGTGAGTTCAAGGCCAGCCTGGTCTTCATGGTGAGTTATAGGACAGCTGGGGCTACAGGGAGATCTGGTCTCAAAACAAAACCCCACAAAAATACAAATGAACAAACAAAAAGACCTTGTCTCAAAAACAACAAATAAAGGATTGCAACAAAAATGCAGCTTTGGGGCCAGCAGGTAAGGATACATTCCACCAAGCCTGATGACCTGAGTTCAATCCCCAGGACCTATATGATGAGGAGAGAACTGACTCTCTCAAGTTGTCCTCTGACCTTTACACACTGACCTCTGCAATTTGCCACACTTATGGCATGAACATGCTCATACTCACACACATGTAAGTAATTTTAAAAACTTTTTTGAGACAGGGTCTCACTATGTAGCTATAGCTGACCTGAAACTCACTATGCAAACCAGTGTGGCCTCGAACACCTAGATCTAGCTTGCTTCTGTCTCTGGAGTCCTGGGATTAAAGGTATGTACCACCCCACCTGGCAACAAATATTGTTAAAATGTAGGTTTTGTTTTCTTTTTTGTTGTTGAGACAGAGTCTCCTGTTATAGCCCAGGCTAGCCTAAAACCCCCTATGTAGCCAAGGCTGTCCTTGAACTCCTGACCCTTCTGACTTGTTTGCCAACCTGAGGCACTACTGGGACGTGGTAGAACCTATAGCAGGTGGGGCCTAATAGAAATAAGTTAGGTACTGGGGATGCTCCTTTACATATACCCCAGTCCTTTACTGCTTTCCAGCCATGATGCAGTGAACAGACATCCTCTACCATGTGCTCTCTCCATGAGGTACTGTTTCTATAAGCCCAAGTAACAGGGCCAAGCAGCTATAGGCTGAAAGCTCTGAAACTGTAAGTCAAAATAAACTCTTGGTTCTTTTTTTTTTCCTTCTTCAAGATTTTATTAATTTTTATTTTATGTGTATGAGTGTTTTACCTGCATGAATGTATACCATGTGTATGTCTGGTGCCTGAGGAGGTGAGAAAAGGGCATCAGATCCCCTGGAACTGGAGTTACAGAAGGTTGTAAGTTGTCATGTGGGTGCTGGGAACTGAGCCTGTGTCCTCTGTAAGAGCAGCCAGTGCTCTTAACCACCAAGCCATCTTTCCAACCCTAAACATTTGCTTCTTACAATTTGATTATTTTCAGGTACTTTGTTATAGCAGTGGAAAGCTAACAATACTTGACTTGGGCATTTACAAATGAGTTATTCTATCACATTATACAAGGAAACATCCCTGATTTGCTTCTGTTCTCAAGCATTGCTATTTCTTGTAAGGGTAACAGTTCTAGGCTTCCAGATCCAATTTCTAAACAGATGTACACTAGCCCTGTGTGTGGGATACCCGGAAGTCAACAGACAAACAGTACAGTGGTTTTTTTGACAGATGGGAATTACTTTCTAAGCCACACAAAGGCATTAATTTTTGTAAATCATGAGCAATTTATCCCATGGTATTTGAATAAGCAGTCTTGAATTTGTTTAAAATAAAAAAATAAACACATAGAGTAATACAAACAAGTACAGATGCACAGTCATCTATTTTCCTGAGAAATCAGTGGTTCTAGAGAAGTGTCTGCCTAAGGAGAATTGTGGGTTGACTCTGTTTATAAGGGCCAGCAAAATGGTTTTATCTGCATGTAAATCACTAACTGGTGAAGAAGGGGATTTTACAAACCACAAACTATAACTGACATTGTGAACAATGCTGTGATTCACAACAAAACAACTCTAACTGAAACCAAGGCACCAAGAACAGCAGATGACTGCAGTATTTCTAACTCCTAAGGGGACTGAGTCTCTAGAAACAGTGCGCAAATCATTCCAGACTCAGGAGGCTGCTGATTCATTCAGGCAGTGAGGTGAGAAAGCTGGCAGAACTACCTTATCCCGAGGCAGTAGGATTACTGGGTAGAGAAGTACTTTACAAAAGGCACCATGGGACCAAAGTGTTGTCACATAGAGGGAGGTTCCAAGACCCAACCTAACTTTGTACACTCATCCTCTCATCTGAAACTTACAAAATCACATCTTGGAAGCCTGGCTACAGTCAGAAAATTCATGTTCATTGCTCACCAGTGCCATTTATTGACAATCTCAAACATGAAACACTAGAAAAAATTAAAAACAAACAAAAAAACCACAAGATACTCACATGTCTTGACCACAGTCTCCAAAGACTCCAAAATACATTGGCTTCTTGAGGTGAGATGTTCCTCAGACTTTTCCAAAGATGTCTGCAACTAAGAAACTCTAACATAAGAAAGAATCCATAGACTTGTTGCTTTATTTTACTGACTTGGGGAATTGTTATTTAATGATAAAAATAGTAAAAATACTGCTATTCCACATGAACTAAATAAAGGCAACACAATGATTAAACTTCATAAGATATGAGATGCCCTAATTCTCTGAAACTTAGCCATACCTACCTTCTGAATGAGTTCTCCAAAATGAGAAACAAATTGGTTAAGGATCTCACTAGAGGTAAGAAGGAAAAAGAAAGAAAATAAATCTTTGTAAAATATTGTTATAGCATGTAACAACGAATCATGGCAGGTATTCATATAATATAGCATCAAACACGGCTTGATCAGTTAGAGACTTGACCTGAAAAACTTCAATGTCTTGCCAGAAAATAGAAACAGATCATTTCCAATGCAAACCACATTTCATTCTGCTTCTCCCCCCCCCCTTTTTTTGGTCTTTTTTTTTGAGACAGGGTCTCCCTATAGCCCCAGCTGTCCTGGAACTCACTACGTAACCAAGCTGGCCTTGAACTCAAGAGATCTGCCTGCCTCTGCCTCCCAGGTGCTGGGATTAAAGGCATGTGCTACCACGCCTTGCCTTCTTTCTGAGTTTTTGAGATGGGCTATTGCTATGTACCCTCGCTGTCCTGGTACTTGCTATATAGCATACATGCACTGAGATAATGAATGGCTTTAGATTAAAAATTTTGTATTTACAACTGGGTGTGATGGCACACGCCTTTAATCCCAGCACTTGGGAGGCAGAGGCAGGTGGAGCTCTGTGAGTTCGAGGCCAGCCTGGTCTACATAGCAAGTTCCAGGCCAGCTGGGGCCACAGGGAGACCCTGTCTCAAAGAGACAAACAAAATTGTATTCACTTAGTTTTAATTGTTTTGACTTATTTTTATTTTATGTGTATTTCATCTACATGTATGTAAGTGCACCACATGAGTGCGATGCTCACAGAGGCCAGAAGAGGGTATTGGATTCCCTGCAACTGGAGTTATAGATGGTTGTTAGTCATCTGGGTGCTGAGATGGCAAACCTTGGCAAAGCAGTCAGTACTCTTAACTGCTGAGCCTGCTCTCCAGACCCTAGGGTTTTTTGTTGCTGTTGTTTTGGTCTTCTTTGGAAACAGGGTCTCTCTGTAATCCCAGCTGGCCAGGAACTCACTATGTAGCCCAGGCTGGCCTTGAATTCACAGAGATCCGCCTGCCTCTGCCTCCCAAGTGCTGGGACTACAGGTGTGTGCCACAATGCCTGGCTTCCAGACCCTTAATTTTTTTTTTTTTTTGATCTTTTTGAGACAGGGTCTCCCTGTAGCCCCAGCTGTCCTGGAACTCACTATGTAGCCCAGGCCAGCCTTGAACTCAGAGATCCACCTGTCTCTGCCTCCTGAGTGCTGGGATTAAAGGCGTGTGCTACCACGCCCGGCAATTTTTTTTTAATTTACTTTTTGTCCCCAGGTTGTACAAAACTTTTAATAAATAAAGTGAATTAAAAGATTTTTTTTTTTTGCTAAAATGGAGGAAGAATCCGTGAATTAAAGGAGGGTTGGAAAGATGGTTCAGCAGTTAAGAGTACTTGCTGTTACTGTAGAGGACCAGGTTCAACTACTAGCACCCACATCAGGCAGCTCATAATCACCTGTAATTCCAGTTCCAGGGGACCCAACACCAGACTCTGAGGACACTTGGATACACATGGTGTACATACATATTCTCAAGTACAAACACATACACATTAAATAAATGAATAAAATAAATAATTTATGAATTAATTGAATACATATCTAAGTCCTGACTACTATTAAAAATATTTTACAATTTTTAGGGAACTGAAAATTTGTGGGGTTTTTGTTTCTAAGAAAAGGTCTCACTGTGTAGCCCTGGATGGCTTGGAACACGTTATATAGACCGGGCTGGCTTTGAACTCACAGAGGTCCACCTGCTTCTGCCTCCAGAATGCCAGGACTACAGATGTGCACTACCACACAGAGCAAGGAACAGAAAATATGAAGAAGCATTGATAATTAAGAAATTATTTTCAGGGGCTGGAGAGATGGCTCAGCAGTTAAGAGCACTGACTGCTCTTTCAGAGGACCCGGATTCAATTCCCAAGACCCACATGGGTGCACTTACATACACACAGGGAAAACACACACATTAAAAAACAATAAAATTAATTTTAAAAAATAAGGTGAAATTGGCTGAGTCAATGTTGTTGAAGCTGGGTAATAGACACATGGAGGTTCATTGCACTATTTTATCTGATCTTATATATTTAAAATTTTCCTCAAGAGGTTGCAAAGCAAACTATGAAGCACAAAGTATTAAATTTAAAAATAAACTGCAGCCAGGCTTGGTGGCACATGCCTTTAATCCTAGCACTTAGGAGGCAGAGGCAGGCAGATCTCTGTGAGTTCAAGGCCAGCCTGGTCTATATAGTGAGTTCCAGGACAGCTGGGGCTACAGGGAGACTCTGTCTTAAAAAGACCAAAAACAAAACAAAACAAAACAAAAAAACAAAAAACAAAACCCCAAAACGGAAAAGGCTAGAAGATAAATTTATAGTTAATGATTATGATAATCATTCTGCACATCCAAGCTTACTCTTATTAATTTCTCGAGATCTGAGGAGAGTTTATATTCTTATTTCTTAACCTCCCATAACTTTAGGAGACCCATATTGGTCATTGATATGGATTTTAGTCTCCTTCCCCACTGATCTAATACTCTCCATAAGGGAGCAAGACTTTCCTTAAAATCTATTCATAAACAATATGAAATTAGCCATTTACAAAGTATAGGAGGCTTTATTTGGTTTGTTTTTTTTTTTTAACAGGATCTCACTACATAGCCCTAACTTGCCTGGAACTTGCTATGTAGATCAGGCTAGACTCAGACTCCCAGAGATTCTGCCTGCCTCTGCCTTCCAAGTGCTGGAGTTAAATGTGTGCACCACCACACTTGCTAGGAGGTTTTAATTAATTAATTAATTAATTAATTAATTTTGTGTGTATGAGTGTATTGCCTGCATGTACGTGAGTGCACCCGTGTTGTACAATGCCGCGGAGGTCAGAAGAGGACTTCGGATTCCTGTGGAACTGGAGTTAAGGACAGCTGGTAGCCGCCATGTGGGTGTTGGGAATTGAACCTGGGTAGGAGGCTTTAATTTAATATTTAAGATTCTCAGAAAAATAACATAAGGAAAAATTTAAAAGATGAATTCAAGACACTAATATAACTGAACAACCTTTTGTTTTTCCAATTTTAACTAGGAAATCAACACTTAGTAATTAAATTTTTTCATGATTTATAAAAAAAATGTGTAGTTTAGGGGCTGGAGAGATGGCTCAGTGGTTAAGAACACTGACCTTGCAGAAGACCTGGGTTCGAATCCCAGCACCCACATGGCAGCTAAGAACTGTCCGTAACTCCAGTTCCAGGGCATCCGACAGCCTCTTCTGACCTCTGCAGGCATTGCACAACACAGGTGCACTTAACCTACATGCAGGCAATACACGCATACACAAAATAAAAATAATAAAAATTTTTTAAAAATGTGTAGTTTAAAGAACTACACATTAGCCAGATGTCATGGTGCACACCTTTAATTCAGCACTCTGGAGGCAGATGCAGGTGAATCTCTGTGAGTTCAAGGTTAGCCTGTCTACATAGTGAGTTCCAGGCCAGCTGGGGCTACAGGGAGACCCTATTTTTAAAAAAACAAAAACAAAAAAAAAGAACTGTGCATTAATATCCCATGACTCCAAGTTTTTAAAAATTATTATTTATTTAATAACCACATAATTAGTAGAACCATTTCATTACAACAGCATTGACATATTCAAAATGCTTAATTTATTAAGTTCCACAGACAGCACAGTGATGTAACATTTAGTCTGAAGTCTACACTCATGGAAGTTAAGAATAGCCGGCATCACAATGGCCTGAAACCTAATTGCATTCTTGTCTCAGAATGCCTGCTGTAAATCTGTAAGTTCACACTAAGACACAAAATTAAACTGGGGTATATGTATCACATAAACATTTTCAGGATAGATTAAAGATTAACATAAAATTGTACCAAATTTCAACTTTATTGTTTAATCAAATTAAATTTTTTATTTTTTATTTTTGAGACAGGGTCTTCCTATAGCCCCAGCTGACCTGGAACTCACTATGTAGACCAGGTTGGCCTGAATGTCATGCCTGCCTCTGCTGTGATCAAAGGTGTGTGCCACCATGCCTGGCAGTCTTAACTTTAAAAAAAATATATAAACATTTTTTTCAGCTGGGCATGGTGTCACAGGCCTTTAATCCCAGCACTGGGAGGCAGAGACAGGTGGATCTCTGTGAGTTCAAGGCCAGCCTGGTCTACAAAGCAAGTTCCAGGCCAGCTGGGGCTACAGGGAAATCCTGTCTCAAAAAGACCAAAAAAAATTATTTATTAATTTTTATTACTTTCTGTGTATGAGTGTATTGCCTGCATGTACATAAGTGCAGTTATGTCATGCAATACCCGAGAATGTCAGAAGAAGACGTTGGATCCCCTGGAACTGAAGTTATGAACAGTTGTTAGCTGCCAAGTGGATGCTAGGAACTGAACCCAAGTTCTCTGTAAGAGCTGCCAGTGCTCTTAACTACTGAACCATCTCTTCAGTGCTGACATTTTTTTTTAAAACATGGTCTTGTTATTTAATAATTTATGCTGGAACTCAAAATCCTCCTGCCTTCACCCAAGTGCCGGTATTATAGGTGTGTACCACTATGTCTAGTCTACACTAGGCCAGTCTGAGGCTACGTGAGACTCTCTCAAAAAAACAAAAACAAAATAAAAAAGCCCAAGATAACTGTCAACAATGTGCATGGACATTACTCAATCTTGATAGATAGGACTTTGATAAGTCCTGCATAGAGCAAAAAGGCAAAAAAAAAAAAAAAAAGGGGGAAAAATTCTCATGAATTGGGACTTCCTGGTTTTGGGGCCTCCAATGTCAGAATTTAATGAGCATCCATCTCTGTCCTTTCTTCTATGGTCTTCTGATTCAGGCTGAACTATATCACAGGGTTTTCCTGGTTCTCTAGCTTGCACATGGCAGATTATAGGACCTCCTGGCCTCCATAATATTGTGACCCAATTTCAATAATAAATCTTTCTCTATATCTCTCTCAACCTTTGAGTGTGTGTGTGTGTGTGTGTGTGTGGGTGTGTGTGTGTGTGTGGGTGTGTGTGTGTAAAAATGATTCTGAAGCCGGACGTGGTGGTGCACACCTTTAATCCCAACACTTGGGAGGCAGTGGCAGGTGGATCTCTGTGAGTTCAAGTCCAGCCTGGTCTATATAGTGAATTCTAGGCCAGCTGGGGCTACAGGGAGACCCTGTCTCAAAAACACCAAAAAAAAAAAAAAAAAAAAAAGAAAAAAGAAAAAAGATTCTGTTTCTTTTCTGTTTCTCTGGAGGATCTTGACTAATGCATGCAATTATGCAGAAGTGGTGCATTTTGTTTCCCTCCGAAAACATGAACCTTCTTACCTACTTAAAAGGTTTGTATACCTGTCACATCTGTCTGTTGCCCTTCTTTTTTGCTCCTCAAACTGTTTCAAGAGTCCTTTTGATTTTCCAGCTGGCAAAGGAAGAGAAAATAAGCCTTCATCCTTTGTATCTCCTCCAAACAACTGGGGTTTTGTCTGGTACTTTGTGAAAATACTAGGTTCACTCTGTTAAATGAATAAAAAACAACAACAACATTGAATTCCACTCATAAAAATATTTATAGCAAAAACTATTTTCTGTACAATGCAGAATCACAGTTAAGTAGCAACCATATTGTTAACAATAAGACATGTAGTTTTTAATTTCTGTATCTATCAGGAAAATTATATTTACAATAAATCAATTCCCTTTTTACTAAGAGTTGCCACCTTACCAGTGCAGAAATATTAAAATGTCAGCTAAAATGGCTCAAAAATCAATTGAATAAGTTTATAGGAAACAACAGAAAATTCTTTATTCTGTCTCTGAGATTTTGTATTAAAGTTTTCATACTAACAAATTTAACTTAAATTGCTGGTTTTAGCTTCTAGTAAATTGAAAACCTATTGATAACTTCCATATGTATTTCTTTTTAATGGACTCATGAGATGACTGAGTGAGTAAAGGTAACTACAGCCAAGATTGATTACCTGAGTTTGTTCCCTGGGACCCACATGGTAGAAGGAAAGAACCTACTCCACCAAGTTGTCCTTTGACCTCCACACATTCATCATGACATGTATACCATAACACGCACAGGCACATACACACACCTACATAAACATAAAATAGTAAATAGGTAAATGTAATAATAATAATAAATAAGTTCAAGGTCATCTTTAACTATAAAGAAAGTTTGAGCACAGCCAGGGCAACACAAGACTGTCTCAAAAACAAAAAATGCAAGAGCAGCTGGGCTTGGTGTCTCAGGCCTTTAATCCCAGCACTTGGGAAGCATAGGCAGGAGGCCTGGTTTACATAGTGAATTACAGGTCAGCTGGGGCTACAGGGAAACCTTGTCTCAAAAAGATCAAAAAAGGAAAACAACAACAACAATAACAACAACAACAACAACAAAACAGGCCATCAAAAAGAGAAGAAAAAAGAAAAAAAGACATGAATGTAGTGGGAAACTTGTTGAGAAGCAGTGCAATGGCAAGAAAGATGAATAAGATAATGGGGAAATTATGATCAAAGTACGTTATACATTTATATAAAATTGTGAAATAAGTAAATTTTAAAAATTAAGAGCTGTGGCTATAGCTCAGTGGTAGAACACTTGTATAGTATGTGCCGGGCCCTGGGTTCCATCCTCAGCACTACAAATATAAAAAAATTTGTTACTTTATTTCAATTTTTTTTTTTTGGTCTTTTTGAGACAGGGTCTCCCTGTAGCCCCAGCTGTACTGGAACTCACTATATAGACCAGGCTAGCCTCGAACTCAGAGATCCTCCTGCTTCTGCCTCCTGAGTGCTGGGATTAAAGGCGTGAGCCACCACATCTGGCTTAAAGATTTTATTTATTATTTTTATTTTATGTGTATGAGTGTATTGCCTGCATATATGTGAGTGCACCTGTGTTGTGCAATGCTGCAGAGGTCAGAAGAGGGCTTCCGATTCCCATGGAACTGGAGTTAAGGACGGTTTGTAGCCGTCCTGTGGGTGCTGGGAATTGAACCGGGTCCTCTGCAAGAGCAGTCAGTGCTCTTAACCACTGAGCCATCTCTCCAGCCCGTTTCTATTTTTTTTAAGGCAAAAGGCTTTTTTATCTTCTTTGTGTGTATGTAATATATGACTATGTATGCTACTGCATGTGATTGTGGATATGTGTGTGCCATGGCATGTGTGTAGAGGTCAGAAGACACCATCAGGTATTGCTGCTCATCTAATTTGTTTGAGGCAGTCTCTCTTGTTTTCTACTGCTTATGTCAGGCTAGCTAGTCTGTGAGCATCCAGGGAATCGCCTGATTCCCGCCCCCCACCCCAACTCCATCTCCTCACAGGAATGCTAGGATTATAGATATGTGCAACCACACCTGATTTTTTTTTTGTGCACAGTGGTGGGGGGGTGGTTGAGACAGGGCCTCCCTGTAGCCCCAGCTTGTCTGTAACTCAGTACATAGATCAGACTGGCCTCTATCTCACAGAGACTGGCCTGCCTCTGCCTCCCGAGTGCTGGGACTAAAGGCATGTCTACCATGCTTGGATCACCATGTGGATTCTGGGAATTCCATCTCAGGTCTTTATGCTTGCATGGCAAGTATTTCATCCATTGAGCCTTCTTCCCATATCCCTTTATTCCTATGTTATGAAAGTCACTGTCTCATAAATTTTTCAGTTATGTGACTAGACTACGAAATAGTGTATTTGCCTCTTCTTAGAAGTGGTCTAGGGGCTGAAAATTTTCTGTATTGTTTCGGTAACAGAAGAAACTGTAAGTACTTTTTCCGTTTCAAACAAGGTTAAATAAGTCACCAATCAAACACAAAGCCATTTAAGAAAAAGACAAAAAAAAAAAAAAGGATATTTATCTTCAGAGATTTACAATTCTAAAATATGTTTCAAAGGGAGAACTTGTCTTCCCCCCAAAAAAATAGGGCTGAAGAGGTGGTGGCTCAGTGGTTAAGAGCACTGGCTGCTCTTGCAGAGAGAACCCAGGTTCAGTTCCCAGCACCCACATGGTAGCTAACTACTGTCCAAAACTCCAGTTCCAGGGGATCCAACACCTTTTCCTGGCCTTCATGGGCTTTACATATATGCAGGCAAAACACTACATATGCATAAGATAAATAAATCAAAAGAATATTTTAAATATCTGATTTTTTTTTTGTCTTTTTGAGACAGGGTCTCCCTGTAGCCCCAGCTAACCTGGAACTCACTATGTAGACCAGGCTGGCCTTGAACTCACAGAGATCCACCTGCCTCTGCCTCCCAAGTACTGGGACTATAGGCATGTGCCACAATGCCCAGCAATATTTTTATTTTTTAAAAAAATATTTTATATACGGCTGGGCGTGGTGGTGCACACCTTTAATCCCAGCACTTGGGAGGTAGAGGTAGGTGGAGCTCTGTGAGTTCAAGGCCAGCCTGGTCTACATAGTGAGTTCCAGTACAGCTGGGGCTACAGGGAGATCCTGCCTCAAAAATGTCAAAAAAGACCAAAAAAAAGTTTTTTTTAATTTATTTTATATGTATGCGTGTATTGCCTGTATGTAGGTAAGTGTACCCGTGTCGTGCAATGCCTGTGGAGGACAGAAGAGGCTGTCGGATCCCCTGGAACTGGAGTTATGAACAGTTGTTAGCTGCCATGTGGGTGCTGGGATTCAAACCAGGGTCTTCTGCAAGAACAACCAGTGTTCTTAACCACTGAGCCACCTCTCCAGCCCCTGATATTTTTATTTTATGTGTATGAATGTTTTGTCTGCATGTGTGTAAGTATACCACATGCATGTAATACCCTGTACAGGCCAGAAGAGGGTGTGAGATAACCTAGAACTGGAGTTATGGACAGTTGTTAGCTACCATGTGGGTGCTGGGAATCAAACCTGGGTCTTCTGGGAGAAGGGCAAGTATTCTTAACCACTGCCAACTCCTAACCCCCAAAAGAAAATTTTTTTAAAAAAGAATATTCTTTCTATAGCTTATCTCCATAACAACTGTGAAATATGTGCAGAGAATTAAATTCTCATATCAGGCTGAGGCAGGAAAACTGAGAGTTCAAGGCCAGATTGGCCTATATAGTTAGACCCCTGTCAAAAAAAGAAAGAAAGAGAGAAAGAGAGAAAGAGGGGGGAGGGAGGGAAGACAAAAGTGATGGAGTGATGGCTCATTTGTTAAGATGATGGCTACTCTAGTGGAGGATCCAGGTTCAGTTCTTAGCACCTACATGGCAAGTAACAACTGTAACTGCAGTTTGGGAGGCTCTGACACCTTCCTCTGGCCTCCACAGGTACTGCATGCCTGTGGTATACATACATATATACAAGTAAAACATTCATGTACATAAAATAAAAATAAATAAATCTTGAGAAAGAAAAAAAAAGGGAATGAGAGAGGAAGAGAAATAATCTGGAAATCAGACTTACATCTAGAGAATTCTGCTGTGTCTGTTTTGGATATCTCAAGTGAGCACTAAATTCCAAGGGTACTGACAGAGCCTCTGAGTTTTCTGGACAAAACTGAGATCCAAAGAGGAACTGGGAGTCACTGAGAGCAGAATCATCAGTCTGATTATTATTCCAGCTAGATGATTTAGTGATCCTGAAATTAAGAAAAATATTAAGTAAATAAATCTCCTGAACAAATGAAATAATAACTTATAGCTATTAATTTCAGAATATTCTGCAATGATTACTATTTGTTCTGGCCTCCAAGTCCCCATACACTGGCAGTACTATATACAAAGAAACACAAGAAATTCTGAATGTCACACATTTTGAAGAGCTGTGGCAACTCCATTTTAAAACCAACCTCCATTTTATTAAACACCCCAGTTGAATCTTTCCAGTAAGAGCAAGTAGTTCCTGGAACACCCAGAGACAAACTGCCACAAACAGTCAAAACTGCCTCCCAACCACAAATGGTCAAAATAGCCTGACAAACAACCAATCACCTACAGCCCCGTACATTCACCCCACCATGATGTAAGGCTGTGGTGGGCCCCCTATAAAAGGCCAAAGGCCAAACGCATGGACTAGGCCTTCTCATAGAGCTGGGGCACCAGTCTCTGTGTTAAGGTCCCTACTGCGGTTTGTACTTTTGTTCAATAAACCTTGCTTTTGCAGTTTTGGAAGTGTCGGGTAGTCGCTGGTCTCTTTGGGGTCCTGAGGCTAAAGTATAACATTTGGGGGCTCGTCCAGGATTCCCAGAGGACTGCCCCCCTGAACCCGAGCCCAAAAGGTTTGTGCTCAACCGGCTGGGTATGTCTTTGTGTAACTAGTCTGTTTGTCCGTTTGTCTTCTCTGCACTTTTGTTTTGGTCATGGCCATCTGAATTTGGTTTTTGTTGCTAGAATATTAGTGGATGCGCTAAGAAAGCAACCTGGAGGATCCGGGAGATGTCCCTATCTTCGTCGGGATGGGTGCCCCACACCGGGCATTCCACCAGGATGTTTGTCCGTCTGAAACCTCAGAGGACCACGTAACCCTGTTGGGACAGGAAACCCACGCAGGCAGGAATCCAGACCATCTAAGAGCCATGGCAGTCTGTACTGGGCCCTCTGTCTGCATCCTTTTTGTGTCTTGTGATCTTCGTTCTAACGTCCTTGTTGACGAAACGGATGGGACTCACAAACATCATGGGCAATACCCCCTCCTCCCCTCTGGACCTAACACTAGCCCATTGTGGGGACATAAAGATGATTGCTCATAATGGTGTAGATGTGATAAAAAGGAAATGGATGACCTTATGCAAGGCTGACTGGCCCTCCTTTAACGTCGGTTGGCCTCCAGGAGGAACCTTTAACCTAACTTTGATCTCTAGGGTAGAGGACCACGTCTTCTGCCCACAGATGGGCCATCAAGATCAGATTCCATACATCGTGACCTGGTGAGGCCTCATTGAACAACCTGATGGCCCCCTTCCTTGGGTCAAGTCCTTCCTTCCCCCGATTAATCCAACTGCTCCCTCTCCACCCTTACAGGTTCTCTCTCTCAAACCAAAGATGGAAGAGAGACATGTTCTTCAGGGGGGACAGAGGAGAAAGACATTTTCCCCCCGCCCTACTCCCCCTGAATGAGTGCCACGACAATGGCACCACAAGCACAGGCTCCGCCCCCTGACCCTGCAGAACCACCCCCACCCCCACAGGGACCTGCACAAGCCACGTGGAGTCGAAGGGGGGCAACCCCCCAACCTGATGCCATTGTCCTCCCCCTTCGGCCAGTGGGGCCCCCAGATGGGGAGGGCAATCAGCCCTTTCACTACTGGCCCTTTGCCACTAGTGATCTTTATAATTGGTGCTCACAGAACCCGCCTTTCTCTGAGAACCCCCTGAGAACCCCCGAGACTTGATTAACATTAGAAACTGTTCTCTTCACTCACCAGCCCACCTGGGATGACTGCCACCGACTCCTAGGTGTACTGTTCACTACTGAAGAGCGAAATAGAATTCTGGAAGCTGCTTGGAAATTGGTTCTGGGTCCCACTGGGGACCCTACCACAGACCCAGGCATTATTAATGCCAGTTTTCCCTCCACCCGCCCCAGCTGGTACTATAATAAGGCAAAGGTAAGGAGAGGCTCCTAGTCTGTCGCCAGACTCTGTTAGTGGGTCTCAAGATGGCAGCTTGAAAGCCTGCTAATATGTCTAATATGATGTCAGACAGGGGCCAGAAGAGAGCCCGGCCACATACTTAGAGAGATTACAAGATGCCTTCCGGCGATTTACTCCATATGACCTGGAGGTGGAGGAATCAGCGCAGACTGTAATGTTTGCCTTTGTAAATCAGGCAGCCCCTGACATCAAAAGGAAGTTGCAATCTTTGGATAGACTAGGGGAAAAGAATCTTAGGGACTTAAGAGCAGTGGCAGAAAAGGTTTATAATAAAAGAGAGACAGCAGAACAAAGGGAGGAAAGAAAGGAAAAGAGACAGGAAGTAAGCCTGACCAGGGTTCTGGAGAGACAACAGGCCCGCCACAGAAAGGACCTTAGAGAGATATTACTGGTAACAAACCCTCAGTACAGAGGGAGTTCACTGGCGGGATCAAGACCACGAAACAAGGTAGGAAAAAACCAATGTGCCTACTGCAAGGAGGAAGGACACTGGGTGAAGGATTGCCCCCAAAAGAATAGACAATCAGCCAAAATATTACCAGCTCTGAAAGGGGGTGATGACAGCGACTAGGGGAAATGGGGCTCAGGACCCCTCCCTGAGCCCAGGGTAACTCTGAAAATAGAGGGGAAACCAATTGAGTTTATGGTAGACACAGGTGCCCAGAATTCAGTCTTACTAGAGCCAAGAGGGCCAGTGTCCTCCAGAACTATATGGGTACAGGGGGCAACAGGAACAAAGCCCTATTCATGGACTACCCAAAGAACAGTAGATTTAGGAAAGAGCCAGGTACCCCACTCATTTCTAGTAACCCCAGAATGTCCCTACCCACTCCTGGGCAGAGATTTATTGTCAAAAATGAGGGCACAGATCCACTTCACAGCTAAAGGAGCCACCCTGATTCACAGTGGGGCACCGGTTCAGATTCTAGCCACCAACGACCTGGCTGAAGAATATAGACTTTACCAGGAACCGATCCAACCAAACCCTGATATATTAGACTGGCTTCAAAAGTTTCCCCAAACCTGGGCAGAAATAGGGGGTATGGGTCTAGCGGGACACAGGCCTCCTGTATATGTTGAACTTAAAGCAGGAGCGGACCCTGTCAAGGTGCGCCAGTATCCTATGCCCCTAGAGGAAAGACGTGGAATCACTCCACACATCAGAAAATTAACAGGACTGGGAGTGCTGAAAACAACCCAGTCTGCCTGGAACACCCCACTCCTGCCTGTCAAGAAGCCCCAATCTGGGGACTACAGACCAGTACAGGATTTAAGAGAGGTGAACAAGAGAGTCATTGACATCCACCCCACTGTCCCCAACCCTTATACATTACTCAGTACCCTGCCACCAGATCGGAAATGGTATACAATTCTGGATCTCAAGGATGCCTTCTCCAGCTTACCGCTAGCTCCCAGCAGTAAGCCCTACTTCACCTTCGAATGGCATGAACCGGAGGGAGGAATTAATGGCCAGCTGACCTGGACGCGATTGCCTCAAGGGTTAAAAACTCTCCAACTATATTTGATGAAGCCCTGCATGAAGATCTGGGTGAGTACAGAGCCCAACACCCTAACCTAAGTTTGTTACAATATGTTGATGACCTATTGATCGCAGCACTGGACCAGAAGTCCTGCCTGGAAGGGACTGAGGACTTACTAAATACACTTGGGAACGTAGGTTACTGGGCCTCAGCCAAAAAGGCCCAGATATGTTTGCAAGAAGTGACCTATTTAGGGTATGTCCTCAAAGAAGGACAATGCTGGTTGACTAGAGCCCGAAAAGAGACTGTGCTAAAGATACCTACACTGACCTCCAGGAAACAAAAGTGAGGGAATTCCTGGGCACCGCGGGGTTCTGCCGTCTCTGGATTCTGGGGTTCGCTGAGATTGCAAAACCGCTATATGAGGCCACCAAAGAAGGATAGGACTTCAACTGGACACAGGAAAGACAAGAGGCCTTTGAAACCCTAAAACGCAAGCTTTTAGAGGTCCCTGCCCTGGGACTATCAGATGTAAGCAAACCTTTCTGTCTATATGTGGATGAACATAGAGGTATTGCAAAAGGGGTCCTTACCCAGAGAGTGGGCCCCTGGAAGAGACCTATTGCATACCTATCAAAGAAATTAGACCCTGTAGCAACTGGATGCCCCCCCCCCTGCTTACGGATTACAGCAGCAGTGGCCTTGCTGGTTAAGGACGCCAACAAATTAACACTGGGACAGGATCTGCTTGTAGCAGCCCCCCATGCCCTTGAGGGAGTGCTCAAGCAACCTCCTGATCGATGGTTGAGCAACGCCCGATTGACTCATTACCAGGCCCTGCTCTTGAATCTGCCCAGAATTACCTTCCAGGTGCCGACATCACTGAACCCAGCCACGTTGCTGCTGAATCCTGACTTCGGAGACCCGCTCCATGACTGTGCTGAGATCTTGGCTCAGGTGCACTGCATCTGGCTTGACCTACAGGACATTCCCCTGCCTGACTCTGAAGAGACTTGGTACACAGACGGGAGCAGCTTCATCCGAGATGGTAAAAGATATGCAGGGGGAGTGGTCACAACCACTTCGGAAGTCATCTGGGCTGAACCATTACCAATAGGTACATCAGCCCAAAAAGCTGAACTGGTCAGGCTTACCCAGGCCCTAAAAATGGGCAAGGGAAAAAGGCTTAATGTCTATACAGACAGCAGGTATGCATTTGCTACTGCCCATATCCATGGAGCCATCTACCAGGAGAGAGGCCTTCTTACTGCAGAGGGAAAAATTATTAAAAATAATCAAGAGATCTTAGACCTTCTGCAAGTCCTCTGGGACCCGACAAAATTGGCCATAATCCACTACCTGGGTCACCAAAAAGGAACAACCCCCACTCAGATAGGAAACAATCTGGCGGACAAAACAGCCAAAGAAATAGCCCTGACTTCTAAGATCCTGCCCACTTTGGTAGACCCCGGGGCGAGAGAACTGCCCAAAACTCCCCATTATAGC